GCCCCACAAGTATAGCCACTGTGTCATCTTGAACTTGGAAGCAAAATTGAATTATTGAGGTGGTTATGAAATGTTGAGGAAGAGTCATTAATTTCAGATGCATCCATGTATATAGTTATCTAATTATTTTGATGTATTGTCATGCTTATCCCCCACCCCCATCCTCCCACCTGCACCTCATTGTTGAAATGGGTGCGATTTGAACTGCCAGTATCTTCTAAACCAGAGGGCTAGGTACTCTCAAAGCCTGAATCTATCTAAGTTATGCAGTTTTGTGTAAGTGACATAGTTTAGATCTGTAGCAAACAGAGAACCTGTTCACCTTTTTGGGGGCTGAGGGCAGCAAATCTCAGACTGGGTTCCACCACTTTTAAACCAGTCTATGCTGAACTTCTGTTCTGTCGTGGGTAAAGACCAGTTTCTGATCACTTACACTGGTAAAAGTATAAGGCCTATACCTGGCCAAAGAATTAAGTTACTGTTTTTTGCTTTCTGGAAGTTAGGGGTGTCACAGATCTGTTACAGTAAGCCATGAGAGAGAATCAAAATGTCAGAGCATGGTAACTTGAGCTTCAACAAGTCAAAGAGGCCTGAGCCTGAATTGATTCAAACTTTGCAGGTTAGCCTAACCTGGTTAAGCTGAACCGGTTTCCAACCATACAGAGAATCCCTCTGGACTGAGGAAACTTGGGCACATGTCTGCAGTGGCTCAGGCTGGAAACCAGGGGGTGCTAGAGCAGCCCTCTTTGCCCTTTCACAGAGCTAAATTGAGCGGGGTATGGCCAGACCCCAACAGGGCTCCAATTTTTAGCAGGGATCCTGGTTTTCCATGATAAATTGCAAATTCTCTGAACCCCAAAATCTGATTTTTAAAAATTAAATCCCCCTCCACAGTCCCCACTGGCCCTGCTGTTGCCCCTTTCCCCCACCAGAGGGGGTAGGGCCCAGCTGCCAGGGTTATGGGACCAGGAATTCAAGTCCACAGCTCCCTACTCCCAACAGAAGGCAGCTGCAGCAGGAGCAGAGACCCAGCTCCCCCACTGCTGCCTGCCTGCTGCTGACTTTGGCAGGGGCAGGGCTGGCTCCTGGTAGCCACGCAAACTCCCATGGGGCAAGGGGAACCTGTGTCCCCAGATCTGTGCAGGGGGACAGGTTGTAGGCTCAAACTTTCACCCTGCTTCCATCCCACTGGGCCTGCTGTAGCCCTGCAGGCAAGACCCAGCATGGCTGGGGACAGTGGGGCCACACTGGGATCTGTAGTTTTCTCCATTTCCTCCCCCCCCCCCATGGGAAATGGAAAACCCAGATCCCTGCTGATTTAGGGAGGGTTGTGAACCCCCACCCTGCCTGCAGTCTCAGGCTTTTCCCCCTCAGGGAGGGGGTGTTGCCAGCCTGCAGCCCTGTGCTGCAGCTCTGAGGCAAGGGAGAGTGTGCGGTGCATGCATCTGTTGATGATACAGAGCTTTTCACTCTCCCTCCCTGCTTCTAGATACAGTCTGCAGCAAACTGACAGGCAAAGAAGCTGGGGGGAGTGGGGAGCTGATGACAGTGTTTATCACCCTATTTAAGAAAGCACAGAGATGTACCAGCTATCTGTTGATTTGGCACAGACACCTCTCAGCAAGGTAGAAGGGAAGGGGGGAATTTGTGCTTAGCAGAGAATGGTGAGGGGGAGGGAGGGGAGCAAACATCCTTCCTTGAAAACACGGTTTGAGAGGACCTATTAAGCTACCTGTTGATTTAGCTCCAAAAAGCCTGCCTACCTTGGTAGTCTCCCACGGCATGGTCTGCTAGCTAATGCCAAGGTGTCTGGTAAAGCATAGGGGCAAGGAGGAATAAACTGGTTTATGTGTAATGCCTGTCCCTAGTCAGAAAGGGTTCTGTAGGATGAGTGGAGACCTGCTTGGTTTGTTTAGCTGAGCAAAATAAAGGCTGAAAGAGGATATGATGGATGTCCATAAATAAGTCATGGAGGTAAATGCTAAGGTAGCAAAGGCACTATAAGATAAAGGACAATGTTGGCACAAGAACTGATGATGATTATATTTGAAATGGAAACCAGAAGACTTCTAACAATTAGAGGATTGAAGTTCTGGAACAGTCTTTGAAGTGGAGTAGTATGGGCAAAAAATATAACCCGTTTTAAGATGGCTTGATCTATTTGCAAAAGGAATTGTATGGTATAGTGTGTTATGGTCTCCCCACCCGCAAACACACACATTTTTTTGTAGTCATTGACAGTCTTTAAAACAGCAACAGCCTCCCAGGAACAACCTGACAGCAGAGCCCTGACATGTTACAACTAGCAGGCAATGAGTCCTCTCTCTTTTTTTCTTTTAAACTTTGTTAATGACCATTTTTAATTGTCTCTCAGGTTCCTGACGTTATCAGCAGTATAAGGCAAGCCTCCAAAGCAGCCCTGAAGGAGGATGCTAAGTCCAGTAAAGATAGCGAAGAAGCCTTTTACAACTCCCAAAAATTTGAGGTGTTGTATTGTGGAAAGGTGACGGTGGCTCACAAGAAAGCCCCCTCCACCCTAATTGATGACTGCATTGAGAAATTCAGTCTTCATGAGCGCCAGCGCCTGAAGCTGTTGAGTGAGCAGCGGAGTACAGATTCGAGTTCAGAGTTAACCTTGGGTGAAGGAGACTTGCCCACTTCTCCAACAGATAGTCCATTTGAGGAGCTAGATGGCACCAATGCCTCCACTGGGATGTTTACAATTGGTAGCCAGACCAATCTGGTCAGCCTGGTGGGCACTCGTGGCTCCTTTCCTGAGCGAATTTTGGAAGATTCAGGCTTTGATGAACAGCAGGAGTTCCGCTCCCGGTGTAGCAGTGTCACTGCCATTATGCAAAGGCGGGTTCATGATACCAACCTGAAAATACAGCCTCGAAGGAGACATGCAAGTGCACCGAGTCATGTTCAGCCCTCAGATTCTGAGAAGAACAGAACGATGTTGTTTCAGGTATGTCCCTGCAACTTTGTGTACAAAGCCGAAGTAGTGGAGTTAACTTACACCATGTACTTTATATGCATTTTGAACTTTTTTTGTGGACAACTTCTACAAGCCATCTAATACTGATACTACGTTTTGTATTGCAGAGTATGAAACCACACTAGGAAGTTCTCTAAAACGAGCATAGATATAAATGATTTGAGCATCTAAAGGGATTTAAGTTTGTGGGTTCTAATAAATTGGAAGAAAAAATAATAATTTTAAATATTTTTTTAATAATTTACTTTTTGTTTGATATTTGCTTAATTATTTAAAAGAATGTTTCTTTTTTGTCTTGGGTTATGATCTACTCATCTCTAGAGCCAGGGTTTATATACAAATTATATAAAATAACAAAAGAATACAAATTGCATATAATTTGTATTATTTATAATCTGTATATATGGATAAATATATAATATTTGCATATATATCTACATACAAGTTATATCAAAATAAAATATGAAATAATAAAATATAGTTAGTGTGCATGTGTATAACACATGGGTACGTATATATGATGAAGTGCTCCTGGATATAAATAAATGTCCAGCTTCACAAAATTAATATCTTGATTTATTTATTTTTAATCCCTTTTTTTCAATGCGAGTAGGACACTCATGTTGAAGTACTTCTAAAACTGTGAGGAATAATAAAACGCAGTTTAAACCAATTTTTTACAGTCAGCTTCACTGACTTAAGTCACTTCTTCCCTTTCCCAGAATAGGAGTAGTTTGTCTTACAATAATTTTTAAGAAAAAAATTTTGCAACGCAGATGACTTCATCTTCAAATCCTGCAACTCTTCCTTTTTGTAGAAGGGCATTAGATCTGGCAGTACATGGGCTGAAGGATCAAGGGAAAATAATTTAAAAGCTGCTGCCCCATACAAGGAAAGATCTTTGCTTTCTAAACTAATAGGCAGCTAACTGCTTTGGGATTTTTCTTCCCACCTAGTTCAGAGGAGAGGTGACATTTTCATCCTCTTGAGGGATTGCCAATTTATGTGAGTAAGTAGATGGCCCATTAGAAATCCACAGACAATCACTTGTGATAAAAAGGGCTTAGCTGAAAAACTCCACTGAATATTATTGTGTGCACTTGGAGCAGCCCTTTGGGAAATCAGGTGAGAGACTTGCTGTAGTGAATCTGCTTCTCATTTGTTTAACTAAAAATAAAGGCTAAATGAAGCACTTGGAAAAGAACCCCCCTCCAGCCCCCCCAACTCTCTTGGTTGTTTGTTTGGAGGAAGCATCCCCGAAGAAACAAGCTAATGTCTTATCTGGCTGTTTTTGTTTCTTTACCCTTTTTGGGAAGGGGGAAGATTAAAGCTAGATGATTTCAGGTCAGTCTAATGGAGCATTAAAGTTTTTTTTCATTAACCATGAATAGAATAATTTTATTTAAAAATCTGAACTGCCTATTTTGCTTTTCTTGCTCTGAAGACTAAAGTATGCCACACATCTTCCTGTTGAGTAGTATGTTACTCAGCGAGCAAACAAAGCTGCTTTGTGGGCAGTGGTGGTAACATGTAGGCCTAACCTCATGAGTGTACAGTTCACTTGCATTTTCTGAGACCAGTGTGACTTTTTTTTTTTTCTCACATGTTTTCAAGGTTGGACGATTTGAAATTAACCTAATCAGCCCAGATACCAAATCTGTTGTGCTTGAAAAGAATTTTAAAGATATCTCCTCATGTTCTCAGGTATGTATTTATAACGTAGCTGTTAGTGCTAGGAACCAGCTTGTTTGATTTAGAGATGGCATGGTGCCATTGTGGAGAAAAATGGAGTCAAAGGTTTTGATAAAGCGAGAAGATGAACCATACCACACAGATATTCTTAAAGGTAGTGATTATACCTTTATTTTTTTTCTTGGTGTCTATAAAGCTAGATTTTATTTATTTATTTATTTATTTATTTATTTATATTTTTTTACTCTTTTTATGGCTACTATAGCCAGTTTAAAAATGTAAGAAGATAATGAATCTATTCTCTTTGTACCACAGATTTCCCCCAGAAGAAGGCTTACTTGCAACCTCCAGCCTTGTCCAGTCTCTTTGAGTACACTTGGCATACTCTGCCTAGGTATTAGTGGAGTGAGCCATACATAGCTCCTTTCAACTCTGAAACCCCAGCTGTTTGGTCCCTGACTCTCTGGGGTTACCTGTGACCTTGGCTGAAGGAGCTAACACCCAGTTTGGCTCTGACGGACTTGAATTCCTTTTTAAAGGGAGAGGTGGGATGTACACTGAAGTCCCAAACAGGAAAACACATGGCTCCTCTTCAAAGGCTTTATTGGGGCAAAGCCCACACAGCAAGAAGTTCTTGCCTCAGAGCTGCAGGCTGGCAACACCCCTGCCCCTTGAGCAGCTGGGGGGAACCTGGGACTGCAGGCAGGGGGGTGGTTCACACCCCTCCCACATCAGAGCCCTGCTTGGGCCTGACCACCCCACCCCTTCAATTTAGCTCTGTGAAAGGGAAGGGAGGGCTGCTCTAGCATCCCCTGGCTTCCAGCCTGAGCTACTGCAGGCATGTGCCTGCATTTCCTCAGCCCAGAGGTTGGAATGGTCTGTATGGTTGGAAACTGGTTCAGCCTAGCCAGGTTAGACTAACCTACAAAGGTTGAATCAATTCAGACTCGGGCTTTTTTAATGTCTACCCCCAGCCTGGGTGGCATAAGCAGTTTAACAGCTTCCTTTTGCATAATACAGTTACCTACCTTGAAAATTTAACTAACAATTGAGGCTTACTGTCCCTGATGGGAGTATAAAGGAGACAGCATGTAGACTGAAGCTGACATGCACCAGAAACAGCAAGGATGATTTAATAGCTTTGAAGTGTACGTAGATCAGTCGGGCAGAATGGAAAAGTGATGAAGCCTGTGACTGGTTTGGTTCCAATACATCCTGTATCCAGGGAAGAAACAAACCAACAACAGTTTTAATAAACCTGCTTAGTCGAGTAATAGAAATTGCCTTCTGCAGTGACTTTTTTCTGAAAATCTTGATGACCATGCTGGTGCTGGCATTGCAACAAAGAAACTAAACACTGTTTAGAGGTATTCCAGTTCTCCGTGTGCCAGCTTTCTTGCAAGCTACGCATTTAGAAGCAATAATCTCTTCAGATAACATTGCATATTGCTGTTGAACACTCAAACAGAACTCTAATAGGTGCGGGTAAAAATAAAAGTCAAACTGAGAATACATTTTAAGAGGTCCTGGGAGGGTTGTGTAATGTTTCCAGAATTGCTGCATATTAGGAAAAATGATAATAGAAATGAAAAATTTAGTTCTAGCCAAGTATTTGTAAAACAAAGCTCATCATTATTTGTTCACTACTAAGCATTGTAGAAGAGCCACAATTCTCCTCTAAATAATTGTTTCTGTTTGTTTTTGTTTTTTGGTGAATTTATTACCAAATCTGAGATGCAATGCTGCTGGGAATATTCTCTTCTAAGATTAAAAATTCCCAAAAGGAAAGGAAGCTATCTCGGCTTGTGCTCAGGATTCTTTTTTGTGGTGCTTTTTCTCTCTCTCTCAAATATGCTAGTGTTGCATTTCAGACTGGAAAATGCACGTGTCTAACTTTGTATAACTGGGTAAACAAGAAACAAAAATGTGTGTGCAGCTGAACTTAAGTGCCAGAGACAGCTGTGTAGGCTTCCTTGTAATAGCCTCAATGACCTTGAGGTAAGCAGAACAATAAATAATCACCACGTGCCCTGCTGGTAGGAGAAGTTGAGCTACCCTAGTAGAGAACAGTGGTGTAAGTACAGTTAACGGAGAAACTTGCTGTGCTATTTTCAGCTGCAGTGATGCAAGTGTCATTTCCACCTCCCCCATACACATTCCCCTTTGCAAACAGATGAGAAAAGTCTGAAGACTGTAACAGACTTTTGGCATTGAGACAATTTCTGCTGAGTCTGTGATCTGGCCTGTTAGGGACTGATTTTTAAATGATAGTGGTTAATCTTTCACATTGAAGGGTAGCACTTGGTCCCTCATGTATGTATAATCTCTCACCTTTTCCACTTGATTTTTGTGGGCCTGGAGTTGCCACAGGAGAACTAGTTTGTGAGTTGCTTTCTGGTCCTGGAGTAGACTTAGGCTGAGAAGATAAGAACAGATTTGAATTTAACCAGCTCCCTGAATTCTGAGCAGTCATTTCCATGGCTTGTGCCAGAGGTCAGTTTCTGTAACTTTAGTATCAAAATGGTATATTAAAGTTTTGGTATGGGAACAATATACGTAGTTCATTAAGCAGTGCTGGAACATTCTGGAGGCATAAATGCAATGCATCTCTTCATTAGTACAGCTTAAGCAACTTATAGGGAGCGTATTTGGCAGTGAGGAAACTGTGTCCAACATGCACAGCAGTCAGCTAATTCTGCAAGCCCTAATGCTAAGTCCTTTTCTTTTCCTCCTCAGCCATGGCTGCAGATGCAGCCCTTATATAGGGTATGGTCACAAGTAATAATTAAAACATTTCAAATGGTGTTTGAAATATATATGTGTAAGCAGCTGGTGGTTTGAAATAAGCCCCTTGAAATATTCTAAAAGTGGTAAAAAACTCTAAAACAATACCTACCTGAAAATGAAGTACTGTTTTGAACTCTCTCTCTTGTTTGTTATGCCTTGGTGGGTCATCGGGAAGAGTAGTTGGACAGCCTGCCTGCTGTTCAACTACCAGGTCCCACTCTGGGTTCCAGGGCACTGTTGGTGACCCACCGTCTCCCTACCTGCCTTGACACATACCAGACCCTGGCTGACTTTTGCTGCTTCCTCAAATTGGCTCTTCAGCTCTAGTCCCTCTCTTGGGGGGGAAAAGAGGCTAGAGAATATGGGAGCCGGAGTACCAGAGTCCTAACAGTGGGGCTGCAGACTCCCCCATCCGTCTCCCTTCCACAACGTTTCAGTACAAACTAGCCAGCATGCTTAGGTCAGTGTAAGCTGATTGGTAGGATTTGACAAGTGGCTTGTGCCATTTTTACAATTTGAAATGGTTATCTCTGTTTTCATACTGGCCTCGTAAATGGCTTGTACTGTGTGGTTTTCTTCTTTCAGTACAGTTAATCATAACCAGGGATCTGGGTTTTCTGTTCATCATGATGGGGGTGGAGGCAAGTGGTGAAACCTGGATTTTCTCCTTTAAAGGAGGAAAACTTCAGAAAACCCATGACTGGGGGGTGGGAGGAGTGCCATGAGGCAGGGGGTGCCATGCGCATGTGCACATATACACATGCACATGGCCACCAGGCAGCCTGGAGAACAGGTCTCTGCAGCCAAGTCAGGGGAAGAGGAAAATAGAAGCCCCCATAGGGAGGGAGGAAGTTGCCCAAGGCTAGGGTTGGGGCTGGTGCCCAGCTGGGGTGGTGCATGGAGCTTGGGGCCTGGGGCTAGAATGCATGGCTGTAGGGCCTGGGTGGGGAGCAGGATGGAATCACGGGCAGTGGCAGGGAAGGCTGGCTCTCCACCTCTTCATGCACTCCTGGGGGGCCATGGGAGAGGCATGCCTCCTTGATCTGTGTGTGGGGGAGGTGCAGCTGCACTCTGGGCTCAGGCTACCTGCCCTGCTGCCCTCCCTTTTGAGGGACCTCCAAGGCCCAGCAGGTAAGACCCAGTGTGGCAGAGTAGAGTGGGGCCAGGCAAGGAAGCTCAGTGCCGTGGCATCAACAGGGATGCCAATGCGGAGTTGTGCCCCTTGTTGCTGCTGAATGGGCACCTCACCATGGTGCTCCTAGTGGCAGCACCGAGCTTCCCTGACTGGCCCCACACTACTCTGCCATACTGGGTCTTGCCTGCTGAGCCATGGAGG